TGGATGCTTTCCTATTATACTTAAAGTATGATTGAGACCTGTATGACCTATTCTCATCCGAGAAATGACATTTTCCTCCCTTCTTTTAAACCCCACCTTCCTTCCATCCCCCACATACCTTTGAATTGTATAAAGATGTCTTCCTGCATCATTAATGTCCCAATGTTCTTGCCATGTTGTTTGTACATATTTCTGTTTGAATGCTTTAACCTCCTCTTTGCAAAGTGGAACTTCTATCGGTCTGGGTTCGGTAATTCTTGATTTTTGTTTGGCCAGAATATCCACCTGGTCCATCTACCCTCCAACCTACCATGAGCAGGATGCCCAGAGAAACCCGAGTGCCTATTTGGTGTGTTCTGATATACTCCCTAGACCAATAAGGCGCCCGCGAGCGAGGCCATCCATTAGGGAAATCACTTGCGCCCACGGATTCCACATATGCCTTCTTAATTGAGGAGAGAATGACGCCAGAGCGTGAGGAGGTACTACACACTCCCTATATTAGATTCTCCACAGTCCCTTTTAAGAGAGACAGTTGGGCGCGTGCCTCATGTTGGTTGGTTGGAGGTGAGGCATCAGATGCGACGACAAGATATGTCGCCTGAACGACTTCTACCCGTGATGGGGGAGGACATCGATGAGTAACTTGGGCACCTTAGATTAGAGATGGACATGGGAGAGGAGACGCTAGTCTTCTCTAAGCGCGTAGAAAATGTGGCGGTATACATCAAGGGGGGTAACCGAGTGGGAAATTTTTTCACACAGCTCTATCTCTTGATAATTTCAGAAACCTGAGGCCTATACTGACTATCCGCTGGTTTCTTCTCTGGAACCATACCACTATCATATTGGTCTCCTGTCATGAATTAAACTTGTGTTACTGGAGCCAGCGTAAAGCATACAACCAGATACTTCAGCATTACGTCAGTTACGGAGCACAAGGAAGCCTTGGATTGAAACACAGCGGACTTCCTAAACAGAGTTAAACACCCGCAACTTAGAAGAATAAAGTGGGTTTTTTGCGTCAATATTGCAATGCAAACCCCATGGGAGTAATGACATAAGAATTATTTTGTCATTGAATGCTCATGTTCCAGTTGATTTAATCAAACAAAACATTCAACATATTGGTACATGGCCTCCAAACTGTAACCTTCGCACATTCTGTTTGAAAGAGTCAATACTACCATATTCTACCACGTCGTTGAATCATTAAAATGGATCATCAGTGAAGATATGTAAGCATTATGCCATCTGACTGAAAAAAGGTAGCTCCTGGTTGGCGTACATTATGGAACAACAAAACTGGAGTGATAGTCCTCATTTCATAACAATTACTTTGATACGATGACCCCGTCTGGCAAGAGCACAGTGCAGCCCAACAGCACGTTTTTAGCATCACATTACAAACGTTGCATTAAGACACTAAGAGTAAGCTGGTCCATTGTAAAGGTCCATCCACCTTAAATTAGCAGTGGTATCTGCAGGTGAAAGCAGGACACGGATTGGTCCTGAGGAGAGGAACGATTATAAACAAGAAATATCCCCGAGTCACAAGGGTCAAAGAAAGTAACATTTTTTGGATTATTAGCCCAGGGTGTTGAATCAGGCTAATGGAGTAACGTATGTACATGTAACCGCATGAGTCCATCAGTGATACAAAATCCGCAAATGTATTCCCTACAGTTACGAGAGCAAAAACACCAGATAATAGTACGATTTAATGTAAGACAGGCTCATTAACAGAGATAGGCAATGATACAAAACATTTGTAAAATAAGGAACAATAAATCAAGATCATCCTATATCTCTATTATGACTGGAGCCTCAATAAAAAAAAAAAGGTCATAAACAGTAAGTGGGTTTAACGTATGAATCAGAAATCAGTAGACAAAACATTGAAGATATTGCTACTTATGTATAAAGATGGAGTTTTTAAGTCTTATATGGAGGTGCACGTAAACCACCAGTTGGAACCTAAGCCAGGAAGTTGTAACGAAAATATTGCTTGTGTCAAACGTGGAACTGCAACTTCCGCACCAATCCGTACGTCACCCGCCCAAAAAAACTTTTCCCATTGGACTGATTGATTGGAAAGGAAGACCGCAAAATCAGGACTGGATAAATTTCTTGTTTTTAAATAAATAAACTAGCAGTATGAACTATTGAAAGCCCTTAATTAGAATCATGCGCTCCCTTAAAGTTTAAAAGCACTAAAATGCCCGAACCAGATTATTTTCTCCTTCATATCATTCAGTGGTGGGCCAGGAGAGTGGACTTCGGGGGGCGGGATTAAGGGGCAAACGCGACTGCGCATCTCGTATAGCCGCACAACGGGTACGGTCTCGCTATGACACCAGGAATGTACCTGGTAATCTGTGATGTTTCGTCTCGTCAAAAGTGGGCCCTTTTGCCTTCATGCGCCAATGAGCAGCTCTCATAGGAAAGAGACGAGACCCCGCCTCCAACCCTGTACCAGCTTCTTATATACATCCATGGTGTGAAATGTCATAAGACTTATCATGTGTCCTCTCCATCACTTCTGTTCCACGGTGTTCAGTGGGCTGCCTGATTGGAGGCCAGCCTCCGTCTGTTACCTCGAGTTTTAATTTCTTAACCGGAGGACTGGAGGACAACACACTGGACTTTTAATCACTGACGCCATTGTAAATCTTTGTCACAAACATTGCACTGTATATTCCTCTCCTGTGTGGACTCTCATAGTGTGTTTTACACTTCCACTCTGTGAAGAAAGCTTCTGTTACTAACTGAGCACGAATGGTTCCTCCTGGTTGGGATTCGCTCATGTGTTTCTTTAAATTTCCACTCTGTGAAAATAACCTTTCTAACAGCTGGCGCAGTTGATATGGTTGCTCCTGTTGGGAGTCCTCGATTGTTTGTCTTAAGATTTTCCTCAATGGCATAAATATTTGGTACAGCACTGAGCAGGCTAAAGGGTTTCATCTCCTGTGTGGATTCTCATTGTGTTAGGCCCTTAAACGTCCACTCTGTAAAAACTTTCTCACAAACTGAGCAGCTAAAGGGTTTCTCTCCGCTGTGTGGATTCTCATGTAGGTTAAATACGTCAACCCTGTGAAAAAGGCTTTCTCACAAACTGAGCAGCTAAAGCGTTTCGCACCACTGTGTGGCATTCTCATGCGTGTCATTACTCTCTATTGTTATTGAAAAGATTTCGTACACACGAGAGCCCAGCCAAAATTGTCTTTTTACAGC